ACTTGATTATATGTACGTGTATACATTATAGCCCATGGTATACGAGAGCAAGGCAAGTTAACGAACTATTTCGTTCAACTTGGAAAATCGTCGATGAAAAGTTGCGAGAGCCGCGCCGATTAGACGTTGAGAAAAAAAAGTTGATGTTATATTTATTTATGAGACTTTGCGTACACGTGCTTGTATACGTGTATGTATAGTGCGATCATTGACGTCGAAGAGACAAGAGAAGACAAGTATACACGTATAGACTAGCTATCAGATTTTTCACACACGTATAGGCGAGCGAAGGGTATAATGCAAGGGGTTGCTGCTTATGGATACTCACCAAAGTCTGTATACGTATATATGTACAAGAGCGAACGGCGAATACGTGTGCGCTTGTATGTATTAGAGAGGGCGAGAGAAACACGAAATGAATATTCAGAAGTTATTAGTCTGTAGTGAAATGTGTCGTGGGGTGGTTCTCTTGGTTCGGCACGCGCTTCTCTGTATATATCTACAAGTAACGCACGAGTCTTTCGACGCGATATCCCCACCCCCGCTCCAGGCCGCGCTTCTCCTCTTTTGATATAGATTTTGCGATACATGCAGCAGCAGCAGCCGCCGAGCTGGAAGAAGACGACGAAGAAGAAGAAGAAGGAAGGGTTGCGCCGGTGCATGTGGTAGTGCTATGTGTGAGCTGTGCTGGAAGCCGAGCGATGCTTCGATAAGCGTGTGCGCAATGCCTGAGATGCGTGTGCACGCGCGCGCGCGGGGATGAAGGGGGCGACGGAGGGGCGGAGGGATCGTCGACTGCGCGAAGAGCTTTATGCATAAGCTAAGAAGCGCACAGCTATTGACGGCTCCGAAGCTCGCGAGTGACGTGTGCAGCCACGGCTATGTATACTCACTCCGGGCACATATAGACGCGCACCCATACACAAGCAGACGAGGCGCTCGCTGCTGCTGCTGCTGCTACTCTTCGACTGCATCTCGCATCGCTTTGATAAACACACTGGCTGCTTTTGCCATCAGAGAGAGAAAGAGCGAGCGAACGCCTTACCTAGTCACGTTCCAAATATTGTTTTAGCCTCAACATTATGTACTCCAGCTCCGAATCCCCTCATGCAGTAAGCAGCATCCTTTCATCTCTCGGATAAATGTCAACGACATTTTTTCTTTTTCTTCTAAGCTTTACAATCTTGTCTCTTTCCCATACTGCACGTCGAATATTCAATTATTAGCTCGTTCAACGATTGAGTATATTACTAGTTAGATCTTTCCAGAATTTGATTCAGAATTTGTAATTTAAACGTTAATATATTTATAGAGATCATCTTAGCTTTTTTGTCGATATTTAATATTTTTTGTTACAAATATAGTTCAATCAGAGATGAAGAAAACGAAAGAAAAAAATGTCAAAGGTGAAATCAAGTGCGAATAATATTTAGTTCTTTTTCAATCGATTTTTAGCATAGCTATCTATATGTGTAAATACAGAAATGTGCAACAAAATATGAATTTATACTCCCTCATTCTGCTGCTACTCTTGCTTTTGTATATGATCAAGACTAGATTGCAATTAAAATGTTTGTCTCTTGATGTGTATAGAGAACGTTGATAATTGTTTATTGAGATCTTAAAAACATGAAAAAACGTGTAACAATGAAAATTTTCATAGGTATTTTATGCATAGCTATTTTTTGTTTTAGAAAACCTACGTACCTGTTTTACCTGAGAAAATGTTCATTGCTTACATGTTTTTCCATGTTTCAAAGACTTCAAAAGACAACCATCAAATTTCACTACACACGTCCAATGATAAAAATTATCAATCGCAATTTGATTTTGCGACATCTACTGGCAGAATGTACGTATGGAGAGCAGAGCGGAACACGTGCACTGTAACTACGTATCGACGTGGTCGACGGTAAAGGGGATAATATTCGCCTGGGATCTGTTAAAGTCGCGGGATCATCTCGCTAATGTATGGTATGAAACTAAATTTCAAGACGAAAAAGTGTTGAAAAAAAATATCCGTAAAATTTTATAAATTTCTATCTACAGGTGAAGCACAGCTTTAGCTTCTCGTGGTACTTAACCTGGAAAATTTTCTCAGCATCTATTGTGAAAAATTAAAGTTAGTACATATTATCACGGAAGTAATGAAAAGCAATAGTGACGTAGTCAGGTACATTTTTTTGTGTTACACTGACACAATAATTTTTGAGCGATTTTTAATTGAATTTAATCATTTATCAGGGCAAAGGAAGAGCCGAGCGATACGTTGAAACAATACTGTCTTATATATCGATGAGTTCAATGATTATGTGAATCATTTTCTGTTGATCGATTTTTTTAAACTGACCCACAACTTGGATTTTAGGCAAAACACGCTATTCAGGCTGTGGTGTTACAGCGGAGGTTAGATTAACAGATATTCATAGATTTTCATTTCAAAGATGTCAAAGATGTCAAAGCGCATTGTGAAAAAATAAAACGAAGATCAGACCAACTACACAAGTAAAAATGTCTATTATGATAATAACTGTTAATTAAATGTGAATGGCCGTTTCAAATTTGACGAATATTAGGATCTGAAGAATTTTGAAATGAAAGTAGTAAAAAAATCATTGCCCACGAATTTGAAATTTGTAAGCCACCGTTCCGTTGAATGTCACTGCATATACATGTTCTATGCCCGATACCTTTGTGTGTATGTGCGTATTTTTGTTGAAAAGGTGTGGGAGACAGTTACAGTATTTTACAACCCCTTCTTATCGACCTGTCAGTAAATTATAATATACACTCCTTGGATTCTTCATCTCTTCGCTGCTCTGCTATAATATTATATATCTATAGGACGACGCGTCGGGTGTACGAACGCCGCGTTTAATATTGCCAAAGTTTTTCTATCGAAGCAGCGGCTCAGCGCGAGAACTCCCGGGTTTGCTCTCTCTCTCGCATACTTTAAGGTGATTGATTTTCTGCGCGGCTTTCTCGCGATGTTTATGTATATGCTACGTATAATAAAAGCGTCAGGCATTTTTTTATTCATCGCATTGCGATTTATAAAGTCTGCCTCGCATAGCTCACGCATGTATGTGTATGCATGTGATATATACATTATTTAATATAGGCGTACCTGCGAGCGGGGTATGTAGCGCGGGGAGCGCGAGCTGAGTATCGAAGTGTCGGGCTGATCTCGCGGCTGCTGCTGCTGCTTCTTCTTACTGCGTACACCACCCTCTTGTTCGGCGAATATTATAGCGAAGGTGCCTCTGAAGCCTCATACATCATGCCTTTTTCTTTATTAAACTCATATTTTGCCGAAACCCGTACTTCTATATCTTCTTTTTTTCTTCTGCTGCGCATCGCAACAGCGGCCCAACTTTGTCGAACGTTGAAAGATCGATCTCGTACAAGTACCTGCAAAAAAAAGCAAGGAAAAATAAGAAAAACAAAGGAATAAGCAAGCGATATTTTTGTTGAAATACGAAACCGAGCGATCCGAGATATTACATCGAGCTTCGATTGTATGCGTGTACTTATATACAGCTCATCTCTTTGCGGTGCTTAATGGGGACAGCAAGCTCGTCGCAGTCATCCGTCGAACGCGAAGTAAAAGAAGAAGAAAAAAAGTACACTCGCCATTGAATATTCCATCAGGTAGATCCGCTTTTTTTCACCCTCCTCGCGCAGTTTTTTTTTCTCGCGGATCTTTTACCCGTGTTTTAGCCCTCGAAAAGAGAGTTTTGATTGTCACTGGCAAGTGGTCGTCGTCGTCTCCTCATCGCGGAGGCAGAAAAGCGCAAAGCCATAAGCCCGGCGATGCGCGAGAGAGCGGAAAAAAGAAAGAATATTTTTTCGATGAATGAACGAGTGAAATCAATTATTCATCCAAAATTGGCTGGCAAAAAAACGTCCTAATTATCCGTAGCAAATACAGCGAGCTGAATTGTTATTATATTATAACACTGCAGGCAGAGAGTCGGTGGCGCGCTTCGCTTCCGATGTCTCGAGACCTCGACGTGCCGCCGCGGCGGCTGCGGCAGTACAGTGCCAGTGGCGGCCCTTTACCCTGCGCGAATAACCATTTGTATTTCCAATTAGCTTTGCTAATAAGACGATGCCGAAGCATCGGATAAGTATAACAGCGAGACAGAGCAAGAGAGAGAGATAGAAATGAATGAGAAAAAAAGAGCGCAGAAGCATGCAAATAGCTGGCAATGGGATATAGAACGAGAAAAGAATCGTCGGAGTAGCAGATAGCTGTAGCTTGTTGGGGGTGGAAGAGAGAAAAGAGAAAAAAATAAAATGTATAACCTCATCGAGCCACTGGGGAAATAAAGAAAAGCGCCGTGTGGCATCGCAAAAGCTAGCTATATATGTATAGAGGCACGTATACGATATGTATACCTTGGCGCGGCGCGAGCAAGTGACAATACAACGTTCGCGTTATATTATATATAGGTGTATCTTCGCCTGACGTTGCCTCTCTCTCTCTGTCTCGTCGTTGTGTACTCTATCATAACCTACCTGACGCTGTGCTGCGACTGCGAGTCTCCGACTTACAATCGTTATTGTTTCTGTCTCGTTCCCTCTCGATAGCTGCTACGACACGATTGAAAATACATTCGTGACAGATTGAATCTATTTTATAATTGGTACATACACACGCACAACGGACAGGAGGGAAACAGTCACTTGTTTTCATTCCGCAGACTGCAGTGCAGCTTCGGTCGTGGCAAAAAATCTACCAAGGTCGTTAAGTGTATGCGTTGCGATGATCGAAACTGGCAAGACGCCGAAAACGTAGGCTAAAGGATATCGAAAATGCGAGCAACGACGTGGTGTAAAGTTCATACAACGTCCATATTTTGATCGACGCGTTTCTACGTGTATCTCGATGTAAGACGCAGGGAAGGGAGGAATTCGATTGACGAGGAAGAGAGAGAGAGAGAGAGAGACATGTTGGCGCGCGAAAGAGGCGCGTAAATAATGTCTACTGCTGCGACTCCGCTAAGCCATTGTATTGGTCGTGTCGGTCAAAGTCGTCCGAAGGGCATGATTTTCCGCGCCTCGTGCCTGTTTATAATACACATATATGAGCGATGTATAACAGAGACGGAGCATCGAACGAGACGACCAAAATCAGTAGCAGCGGAGCACGGACTCCGTCATTCGATCGCCGCACGCAGTATAGTGATTAGCGAAGCCACCATAGAGAGAAGCATCTCGCGGAGTGCGCTTCCTCGTATCGATTCGTTTCTTTTTCTCATTTTTTTTTCGCGCTTGTTTTTTGTTTCTATTTTTTTCCTCCGTGGTTGAAATTGTTCCAAGTGTGGCGAAACTTTACATGATTCGTGTGGATTGTTTAATTTAAATCACTCGCAAAGCAGCAGCAGCCGCCGCCTCGTTTGCCGACCGTTATTTGTTTTCGTTTTTCACGGCTCCGGATAAAGTGTATGCGAGTGGGTTTGTTGTTCGCTGGTGTGTGTGTGTGCGTGTGTGTTTTGACAGTTATTATCGATAAAATATGCGGATAAAAACCGTACCGAGGCAAGTGCCGCGGCGCCACGATCTTCACGACTATCATCATCTGCACTGGAGATCGAGACTGCGCAGCAGCTATCCCAAGAACGGAGTCGAGCTGCAGTATTTGCTGAAGAAACGCGTACCCGAGGTCACGAAGCCACACATCAGGACCATCAATTTCACTAATTACCAGGATATCATCGACGTGGTCGACTTTACGGTTGATGCACAGGTGAGTGTTTTTTTACTCGAATGCTATGTGAATATGTGCGCTTGTGTACGTCATAAAAAAATCATCAGCATATTCCAGCTGTTCGTTTGTTCTATGTGTTTTGCGTTATTGGTGGTAGGGGGTGTATGTGCTTGTGTCTGTATCTACGTTTGCAATTCACGCGAGCATTAGCCATACGTATGAGTGATGTGCGAAAGCATTAACATGATAAGAGAAATGAATTTATAACGTGTGGTGTGTCGACGCCTGTTGCTCGATTTTATAGAATGGCACGCAGCAGCAGCAGCCGCCGCCGCCGCTGGAGTGTAAACAAGAGGGATCAACGACAATCAAGTCAGAGGTTGTCGATCTGTCGTGTAAGTCCGTTGGAGCTCTGCCAACCGACAAGTTCAAGGACACGTATCTCTACCAAATCATGACCGATCCCAACTTCATGCAGATTATCCGTGAGAAGCAGCAGGCCGGGCCCGGTGTTACGTCGACTTGTGCGCCGCTAGTGCAGCCGGAGATGCTGCAGCAAGCAGCAGCGACCAGGACGAGTCCAGTCAAAGAAGAGTCGTCGTTGGTGGTGTCAACCACGACAACGCAGCAACAGCAAGCCAACGGCAACAGTGGCGACGTCGACGTTGACTCCTGCAAACAAAACAGTAACAACAACCACAACAACAATAACAACAACAACAACAACAACAACAACAACAACAACAACAACAACAATAACAACAGTAGTACATTGTGCCCTTACTGCAAGAAGGACTTTGCGAGCGAGGCCGAACTGAAGAAGCACCAGAACGGCCAGCTCGACGAGCTGACCCAGCAGCTGAGCTGCTGCGCCTGCGGCAAGACCTTCGCCCAGAAGCGCTACCTGCGCTACCATCAGCGCTCGCACTCGGAGCGCAATCAGTACGCCTGCGTCATCTGCACGCGCAAGTACTCGCGCCACGACAATCTCACGCGCCACAAGATCTTCCACACGAACCCGAACAAGTTCCCCTGCACCTACTGCGAGCGTACCTTCGCCCGCAAGGACCTGCTCAACAAGCACCTCAAGTGCCACGAGAACAAGTACAAGTATCACTGCCAGATCTGCCAGAAGTACTTCAAGGGCCCGATCACGCTGCACAATCACACCAAGCTCTTCCACTCAAATCCGGAGATCAGCAGCACGTCGAGCGCCGACTCGAGCATCACCAATGCGTCCGAGTCCGCTTGAATTCATGCAACCAGTCGCTATCGTAATATATCGTCTGCCGCGAGTGCGCGATTCAACTTCTTTTCATTGTTAATTTTTTTTTGTTGCTTCGAGCAAATATTTTTTTTCGATTTAATTATGCGTATGTAAATATAATGATTACGCATGGAATCTAAATAATGTAATGCTATACCTATAAGTCAATTGTTAATTGTTATTTTTTATAAGGTTTAGTACTTAGCGTTCTACGAATTTATTCTCGTTTCTGTGATTTATATAAAAAAAAGAATTAGTTAAACGAAAATTTAATTTTCTGTTTGCATTGAAATAAATTATGTTTTTGTATTTAAAAAAAAAGTATAAGTCTTTCGAGTGTGTCAAGTTATCTTACTCTTTCAAAGGTTGAATAGTTTCTTCGCTTAGCAAAAAAAAATCTCGAGTTCTTTTTTGCCTCGTCGTGCAAATTGTTGTCTTGTTATGAAAAAAATAAAGGTAAAACAACAAAGTTTAGTTTCGTAAACTTGCGTTACAAAAGAAGAAAAAAAGTCGCGCGTACGAATTCTCGCGAGCTAAGAATGTATACCTATATGCTTTAGCGGGCTTTCGGTTTATTCGGGTGGCGGGTTAGAAAAAACATTGAATTTTCTTTCTCTCTCTATTCGTTGTCTCTCGCTTCACGTGTACGTACGTGAGTGACCCTTTGATGCACTTATATCCTCGCGGCAAATATAAGGGTGGGATGCAGTAGCAGCAGCAGCAGCATAGAGGCCACAAAAAAAGGACACAACAAAATTTCGTTTCAAGTTCCCGAAAGAGAAATTCTGCGGTTCTGCTGATGCTTTGGGAAAGCAAAGCTACGCCCGCGCGCTTATACGCATGCTACATAGATGTATATAAGCGTCGAACCGAGCAGTGCTACACACACCCTACGTTCTTGTCGCTCTGACCATGTTTTCTCTTTCTCCCTTGCGCAGATACATTGTTACATATAAGGTAAGCAGGCTAAACCGCGCCTACAACAACTACCACTGGTACTACTCTTTGCGGACTATGCCAAAGGAGATTATGCCACGAATGCGGACTCTTGGACTTGGGATTGTTCAAAGCGCGCGCGCGTGGCCATGAGTCGACGACCCCCCGCCGTGTGAGATTCGGTTGCATCGCTGCTCTCTCTCTCTTTCTCTGCTGTATAACGTCGTAGAAAAAAAATACTGCTGCACGCGTACAACGAAACCACAAATTTGCTACCTTTGACTCCTTGGAGTGAAAAACGAGAAAGAGTTGCCGTAAAGCCACCGCGCGCGCGACGTCGATGAGCTTCACTCTCGGCTTGTACAAGCTGTACACACGCACACGTACACACATTCAAAGGAGTTTAGGTGTTGGGCGTATTATATCGGTCGTTCTAATATACGGAAATATTCGACGAGGGCCTTAAACTCTAACGTAAACAGAGTTTGAACATCATCGCGCAGCAGCGGCAGAGATCGCTCGGTATAGCGAGACTCTCGGCCTGGCGTGTAAGCATATAAGAAGGCAAGAGTGGCGCGAAAGCCCTGCGCTCGCCTAAGATCCTCGTGCCGTCGCAGGAGGAGGTGGAAGGAGGGGGGGGGCAACGTCGAAATATCTTAAAGCTGCGAGCGCAAAGCCGTTTATCGGCAAAGTCGGGGCTCTTTAACCTCGCGCTGCTGATTATTTTCGCGTGCCCTAGCTCTAATATGCGCGCGCTAAAGTATAGACACACACACATACACCCGAAAGCTCCTAACTGGTTCGCTGTGTGCATGTGAATTAAATACTTGTGCCGGTTAGCTATGCGCGTACATATACGTATACACCTGGTAACGCGCGTATACCATTACTCGCGAAGCTTGTGTAGACGCGGCTAAGCGAGACAGAAAGAGAGAGGAGTAGCGAGGAGAAGTTGACTCAAGAGAGAGAAGGGAGGAGAGTTTTCGCGTCACCCATCGATATCTTCATCTTATTAGCTATGCCTGCAGTTTTGCTCTTAATAAATTTTCTCCTTATAACTCCTGTTCGCTCCACCGAGTGTGTTCCTATATGCCTATAGCAGCGGCGCACTCGTATTTTCCATGAGCGGCAAGCTCGCGTGATTATGCGCTACCTTATATTGCTGCAAAATATCGGAAGACTTTGACTCCTCTCGCATATGCTCCATGAATATTTTTAATATATAACCATGATGGCAGCTGGCAAATATGAAATTCGCTCGAAAGTGTCAAATAACGATGCATGATATAAATTTGAGCGATCAGCAAATATGATTTTGATAAAAAAAATGAAAAAAAGAAGAAAACTTTGCAGGTAAGCAAAAAATCATTTTATTTAGAGTGTATGAAGTTACCTATTTTGAGTTTACACTGCGTTTACGAAAAAACAAAATCTAAGTTTTTTGCATGTCTAGTATTAGTTGAAAAAAGTCGCTCGCGAGTTGAAACGATCGTGTAAACTTTGATCTCAAAATTCCCGGAAAGGACTGAGAGCTTTCAAAGCTATTATACATTACTTTTCCAAATGATTCGCAAAATCAGCAGCAGAGGTGAATCGAGCCGAGCGTGCACGGGTTCATGTATAGAAATCGAAACGGAATTAGTAGTATATGTAGCTCTCTCTCTCTCGATCTCTCCGCGTACATATAGCGCGCGTTTATACGTCGCAGGGCTTTGGTTAAATCATAATTGAAATACACGCTTCAGTGATCTTGACTCGCAAAATACATATACATCTGTACTAATGTAGAACTCGATACGCGTGAGTGTGTGTGTATGTGTGTGGGTATCTGTGTGCTTATAATGTGTACACGCGAGTGGTCGAGTCGTTGGCGTTCGAGTACCGCGTAGCTATATACACCTATACCAGTGCCGTCGTTACGGCAGGACGGATCCTTTGACTTTTGCCTCGCTTGGATTAATACCATATCAATGGACGCGCCAAAAAGGGAACACACTCCGACGTCTGCCGTGGCTGCTGCTGCTGCTACTCCACCCCCGCCAACCATATCGCAACCACCTCGTCTTTTCCAAGGCAACCCCTTTCGCGCCGACTGGTAGTATCGAGTCATTCTCGACTCCGTATAAATATCATTGAGCTTGGGCGACAGAGCGCGAGCTTGACCATCGACACCCGCGCGTGATTTTTCTCTCTCTCCCTCTTCCTGATTCGAGAGCCCTTGCTTTGATACGCTTGCTGAAAGTCATGCGCTGCTTTTTTTATCTTTCTTTTCTTTTTCCTTTTTTTTCCCTCGAGCTCAGGCTGGTTTATTTCATCGATTTCCCCTGGTCTTTAAGGAGCTCCGCGAGAGCGCGGAAAAACTTTTAGCTACGAGTCGGCGAGCTCGCGCGCAAATATTTGATAAATCAAACGGAATTGAAGATAACAGTCTGCTGCTCGCTAGCAAGGAAAATGAGCAAAAGAAGTGGCGAGACGACGACTTCGGCTACGTATATAAGTATATAGCTCGGCGTGCGCTTCGAAGCTTCATTGGCCATGAAATATAGGGTATAGTCGCGGCAAGCGAGCGAGTGAGAGAAAAAAACGGTTCGATAATTGATTACACAGATTTTTTATGCCGCAAGAGACGTTAATTCTCGGCGTCGTTGGAATATCTGCGTTGCGCCCCCCGTAGTATAAGGCAGCCTATAGCTGTTCCAGTATAAGCGTATATAAGTAAGGAGCAGGAGGAGGTGGGGGGAGTTGAAAAAAATCCCCAAGGAAGCGCTATGAGGTAAGCTCGCGTATAGCAGAGTATAAGCGCTACGGTCCTATAAAAACTTTGTTAACTCGGCTGGTACCTTCGATTACACGGCTCTTCTCAATTATAAATTTATCACGCAGCCCAACTACGAGAGAGAAACAGAGAGAGAGAGAGAGAGAGAGAGAGAGAGAGAGAGAGAGAGAGAGAGAGAGACGAGAGGCTCGAATATATATAGCCTGTCTTACTATTGCGCTTCGATTTACGGGCCCCGTTCAGCTCGTATATTACATAATATAACATATACACGGTGTTCTTCATATTATTACAACATAGCCGAACGTTAACGAGAAATTGCTACGATGGCTGTATAGTACAGACACGGATGAGAGTGTGAGGAAAGTTTTTCACCTTCCTCCTCCTCCACCACTAGTGCTCTCGAACGCTACACACACACAATAAACGCAGACGAGCGACACAAAGGAATATTTTTCCGCGAGCGCAAATATTTCTCCATCAAAGAGCGCGCGTAGATGATCGCACATAGCGGCAGTAAGCGATGGTATGGCAATACCGGCGCTGCCGAGGCACGCCGGATCGATACGCTGCCAATTCGCGCTGCACACCCGCACATGTATATAATGTACAAAGCAGCTGGTCGAATATTTTCTGTGTGAAGGAGCACGAAGGCTGCTTCTAAATATTAATTTCAATCTAGCCAAAAGCCATCGCGCAAAATGATACTCGCTCACTCCTTCTCCGAATTCGCGGCGGCGCATCTATAGGGGGTGTGCAATAAGAGCAGTACAGCAGTTTTTTTTCCGTTGCCGTGCGCGTCGCCAAAGTAAAGGCGCGCGTGCTCGTTGCTGCTGCTGCCGCTGCTCCGCACGAGAGATCGCGCAGCGACTAAAAATAAAGGGCTGCATCACGGGGGCACACACATACGCCCGCTTATATACAGATATCAACTGGGGGGTGGGCACAGCGAGGAGTTGCAAAAAAAAGGAAGAAGGAAACGGTGTATACGCGCGCGTGGCGTGCACACACACACATAGATACCCACACGTATAGGCAGTTAAGAGAAAAAAAAAGTATTATATGCGGCTTGCGCCACTGTGATACGTATAATATGTGCGTATTGATTGAAATACGAGCGAGGAGGAGACGACTCGGCCCGAAGAACGCTTTGTTTTCCGCGCGAGACGCGCCAGAATGAGGAGGGAGAAAAAATCATCGGGGCGGTAATTTGAAAATATTGAGGCATCGTCGTCGTCGTCGTCTCTTTCCATCCCTTGTTTAACGCGCGCCGTTCTCTCTGTACGCCCATAAGGTATTACCGTATAATACGAAGTGTGCGCGCAGCTCGTGTATAACGCGTTTTACGTGGGAAATATTGCTTTTTCGATAACGCCTCGTTGCGTTGCGGACGCCGTTGCTGTGTGCAGCGCTATATATTCTCTATACATACATAGAGCACCTATTATTTTTTTTTTTTCGTCTTCTTCATCGCTCGACGTGGATATATATAATAATTGAATCTTGCCGACATGAACGAACTCGAGCTACAGAGCTGCAAGCAGCGAATTACCTCGGATCGCTGTCG